TCAGAAGACCAACCAAGGCCAATATTTCCGCGTCAATAGTTCCATCTATTAATATGTATATAATAATATACTTTGTTAATTTCACCTATAATACATCGAAAAGTTTGTGTTAACTTAGTTTAGTAGTATATATGGAGGATATCTCTATATATATAACTCTTCTGTGAGTATGTATGTCACTGAACTTCTCTCAAACGACTGGACCGATATTGATGAAATTTTTTGTGTGTGTTCAAGGGGATCTGGGAATGGTTTAGATTCACAATTTTGTCCGCTGGACCATATTTTTTTAATTAATTTTTAATTTATTAGTAGTTGTTGATACAACCGTTTTTTTTGACATTAGATTTGACAACTAACTAATATGTCAATCATTCTGTCACACTTCAAAACACGGAGATTTATGCCTTTAATACGTAAACTCCAAAAATATAAATAAAAAAACGTAACAGATATTTCTTGATTATAAGGCGATACGAAGTTCGCCGGGTCTTCTAGTAATTATATAAACCAGTCCATATTTGGTATTCGTAATTGAAGATCCTCAAAAATTTTAATACTCTTTCCCAACTTGTCCATACAATTTTAAGATCGTCATATAATAACTATTGTTTTATGGATAATTTATTGTAATTATTATGCGATCAACAATCAATTTACCTGAGTTTTTACTAAGGTCACTGTATGAATCCTAAACCAAATATCAAAATTATACGTCATCACTTACATAGAAGGCGTTAGTAGTTATATTTATATAAATCCATACATGCACATGTACAGGCTAAGCTTGCCAATACCTTCATCTTATTAATTATTTTCCTATTGAATACAACAACAATTCAATCTATAACATACATATTGCATATGAATGGTTTCTAGACAATTAATTTGGATAAAATATTAAATGCTAATGATTTAATACAATCGAAAAGATTATCTCCGTACTATATTATTGCATGTTCTTAAGTAAGCAATAAATTCTTTCTCTACAGAAATTGTAAACATAATATAATTCAGCGAGAAGATTCTTTGCAGGCATTAAGTCACGCTAAAGTATCTCTTGAAAACTTTTTAAGCATTACCGTAATAATAAAAGATGTATTATAATGTTCTTTCATTTCCCTCTGTGTAATATTGTCGCGAATGTTTTTAAAGGTCATATATTTTTAACTTTGCTTTGAATTTAAACTTGCACATCTTGAATCTGATATAGATGATGTAATTTCCATAATTATGGCTATAAATTAAACTTGTTATAGGAAATCTTCTTCTTCTTCTACCTGGCAATTTCCCAGCTATTGCCAGGGTCTGCCTTACATGTTGGGAATAGTTTTTGGCTATTTGTTTTTACGACCGGCCGCCTGCCTGACATCAACCCTCTTTTGGGAATCAACATTAATCAGTGATGTCTAAATACTCTTAGAAAGTACATATGATTCGGAAAAATCACATTGGTACTTGCCCGGGCCAGGATCGAACCCGCGCCCTCGGCGACGAGAGGCGGGCCCTTTAACCACTGAGCCACCACTGACTTGTTACAGGAAATATTCTATATTAATAACTTCTAATATGGCGAATCTGTTTATTAAGTAAGAATGTATTAGTGTATAGTACTACAATCTGACAAAACTTTCAATATTCCCAAATTTGGTGAAGAGCCAACTGGTATAGCGGATAACAAGAAACATATTTCAAAGCACATAACTGGCTAGAAGGGTCGACATCAACGCTCTAACGAAATATTTTATTCGACTCTTTATTATATTCCTTGTAGTCAATGAATCCTTATATTATTCCTCTGTAAAATCATATATTATTAAACATATATGTAATAAGTCAGTGGAGGCCTAGGGGTTAAAGGCCCGCCTCTCGTTCACGAGTGAACGGGTTCGATCCTGGCAAGCACCAAAGTGAATTTTCCTCGTTATATGTATGTACTTTCTGAGAGTATTTAGACATCACTAATTAACGGTGGACTTATAATTTACCAAATATAAGTTTAAAATCACCAATCCGTCTTGAACAAGGGTGGTGATTAATGCTCAAACCTTCACCATGTGAAAAGAGGCCTTTGCTCAGCAGTGGGCTCTGATAGGCTGATGATAATGATTATATAATGGAAACAATACGTTTAAACAACCCCTTTACCTAACAATATATGAAAAAACATATCCTCTTATATGTATACACACATTCATTTTATTTATAGTAGAATATTGAGCTCATTAATGAGAATTAATTATTAATTATTTGTTAACTGTATGCATATTTTATTGTTTGGATGAAATCGAGTTGAAATTAATTTAACTTTCACTCATTCGTCAGATAATAACGAAAAGTGGCCATTAAAATTTCATACTGAATTACTGAGTCGCTAAGTCAGGGGGGTTCGTTGAAGTAATTTTAATGGGTTCTTAAAACTCTTAACGGCTTTAAAACATTGATTTGATGAAATTACATATTTTATTCATATTCACAACAATTCCTTTGATAAAATTGAATAAACTTAAAGCAGAAACAGAATTATTGGTGATTAATGCACATTTTAAAAGTTTATTAACTATTTACACCATAAAAAATTGCACTTTGGAACTTTAGGTTAAATACGAAAGAAATTTCTAGGAGAGATTAAATATTTTTGTTAATAATACCTAAACTATTTTTGTGGTTCAAGAACATTACTTGTTTTTAAATTTTTATATACCAAAAATAAATCTGTGTTAAAGAAATTATATTTAAACATTTTACAAATTTACATATATCTTTAATTGCATTGCATGTTTTTTAAACTTTAATATATTTCATTATAATATAACTTTTATCAAGAAAAAAACACAAATAAAAGAGCAAAGTCTAACAGAGACTTCTAAGATGTAGGAAATAGAAGTACTAGCACTCTAGCACTAAGCGAATTACAGCTTGTCTTGGAGAGCCTTGCACAAGTATTGTATTACCTTTTTCCATTCAGCCTTCACAATAGCAACGCTGCAATGCGTCTGAGTGAATTCAAAAGGATTTGAAATGTTTTGATAAATACGAGTTTAAAGATATGAATTTTGACAAAATTTTATATACCAAAAAAATAGATTTTAATATTTTGACAACAAAAAATACGACTGAAGCAATGGAGTACCTACTGAAAGCATTTTCTTTTAACAGCTTCGTTTTCATATCATTTTGTTTAATGTAGTTTTGTTAGTAGTTTATTTCTGATAGGTCATTTTACAAAACCTTTCGAAGTATCGTCTGTACTGTATCTGTCTCTAACTTAATATACATTATAATATAATTCAAGTCTCGGTAGCTAACTCTGTCACCGTAATTATATCAAATGAATACAACCCGCCTCACAACAAACCAGTCTCGCTTCATAAGCCGCTGTGATATAATTTGTTAAGTCCCTTTGTCTCGTTTTAAGGGCAGGTAACCTCTTTCTTATTTTAATGGCATAATTAATATTATTACATCCATATAAAAAGTGTTTATTTATTTAAAAACCTCGTGAACAAATTAAGTATATGTATACATATTTGCGAAATGTTTAAAAAAAAACATACATAGATAAAGAACTTATTTGGTATTTTCATTATAATCAATTTTAAAATAATTATGTATTATTTTGTTCTGTAATTTATTTTGTCATAATAACCACTACTATTATTTTATAATTAACTAGCTCACTACGTTTAAGTCTACCATTTCTACAATACCAAATACACTGAATTAATAATTAAAGAAATAATTGTTTAATAAATTTTAAGTATATTCACAAAAAGAACTGTAAAAATTATTGCGATCTTCTTATCCTGTTGTTTTTCATCATTGTTTTTAGTAAATTAAATAAATGTTCTCAAAAGATTGGAAAAAGTATAATGAAACCATACTTTAATATAAAACACTTAAAATAAATTCTGTCAATAAATACGTACATAATAAATAAAAATCATAATGAAAATATAAAGACTGTTACGTTCCCAACTACTTTAGTTTTATTTTAAAATCTGTTTTGTATGTATATATAAGCTGATTTTAAATGCAATCACGGCTGTTTCGCTGCTTGTGATGAAGCTTTGTGAAGGTACCAGAGAATTCTAGAGCGATATGAAAATATTTTTAAGGAAGTCTAAATGTAATTTAAAGATTTTTTCCTAGTCGTAAAATGAATGTTATATAAAGTAATGATTTAGTTAGCAAAGTGACAACACTACTATAAAATCGGGTGAACTCAACAGAGGCAATTATAATTGGACATGAAAGATTTATTGGTATGGAAATAAAAGCGATAAATGATACTCTAACATCTGTTGTTGATTGAGCAGTTAGCACTATTCCATTAGCATTTACGTCAAATACGAGTTTATTTATGTATTGTGTATACTTAGAAAAATTTATGAAACTCTCGCAAAATAAACAGAGCATTTAGATTCAAATAGCATTTGATGCAAAAGATTCCTTATTATTCGCTTCCAATTAAAAAAGAAACGTCAAGTTTCTACTTGAAATTAAAGACTTAATTAATTAGAGAATGAAAAATAGATATATTTTTTTAACATTTGTAAAATTCTGTTTATACTGACGAATATTTCTGATTTATAAAGTAAATAACTCGACTACAATCGCAACGCTCGTGGGAATCCGATAAGTGGTAACATTACTCACAGGCCATTATATTTTGGTTATTTTATCCGTGAATTTCCAGCCACCAGACAAAGACAATAAAAGTTATCAGGTGGAACAAAACTTGGTCGGTTTATCTCTATCAATTATAGCCCAAAGATCGTCACTGAGTATTATAAAATCTACATTCCTTTGGGATTGAATATTATTGATAGCAGAAATAAATTTTTAATAAAATGTTACTCGAAATTTTGTTTATTTACGAAAGTAAGACTGTACTGTCGTCCTTTAGTGCTTTTCAATCTGGTATTAAGTTTTTAGATGTCTAGAGAAAAGGTTACTGATACATTTAGGATGATGGATGGCTTATTTCTATAACTTACCTGTAATAGTTGAGGACTTGTGCGAATACGCCAGGGTGTCTGTCGAAGAAGTATTCATTGAGAACTGGGTCGTAGTTAGCAAGGGCCTCAGTGAGACGGGAGAGGCGCGTCGCTGGAATTTTCTTTAAAGTGGCCTTGTAGGTTTCGTATCTAAAAAAAAAACTTATGAAGAACAATACAATATATTTTATATAAAAAATTCAAAGTCATAGATGAAGTATTAAAGAAAGAGAATGTAAAGAACATAAAATAAAATATACCGTTTATATTTCATACTGTATCATTTGTGTCCTATAAAATGAAATGGTTACGGTTTTGTATGTTTACGCTACAACAACAAATTTATATTTCACCAAAATTTATAAACTGTACAAGGTATTTGACGATTGTTTACCAATCTCGGTTAAATCTAAGTAAAAGGTAGATCCCCGGGGATACAAAGCAAACGTCATTTGCTGATAGCGATACATTCGACTACAATCAATTGAGTCTAACGAAAAGTTTGTTTATTCTCTCTCATGATTTTCTATTGATTAGACTCTTGTGTTCTTAAACTACGTGATTTCCCAAGAGGTTGCCGGCCGCAGCCAAGTTTAGCTCGATAAAACTGCAGGCGATTCGTATACTATGTAAATATAAATATTACAATCATAGTATTTCTCATAGATCATATTTAAAATAAACTAATTATTAGTCAAGCTAATACAAATAATAACATTCGGAAATAACGTAATGTTTTTAAACAACGTTCAATGACTTAAACAAGTCAGAATTATAACTATAAAATTTTAAATATGTCACTTTTTGCGACACTGGACTTGCATAAGAACCTCATCAAATCTTTATACTGATATATTATATAAGCTGACTCATTATTTTCCGAATAAGTGTTCTAGATTGAAATTGGTAAGTTCAAAACGATACACGTTAGTAACTCATTAGGTATATAATAAATGTTCAGCAAAACAAAATAATTTCTAGAATCAAATTGCTTAAACTCGTCTGTGGACTTTTATAAGTGTCTAAATATATTATGTAGTTGCAAGATATTCGTAAAATATATAATATGTTTTAGTCATGAAAATACTTTGTGATATCTGAAAATACTTTGTGAAATCTGTGATTTTAAAATAACCGGTGTACCCTCTGTTATGCGAAAACCTTGAAACATATAGATTTTCGCCAATTTTGGAATCCATAAAACTATATAATACAACAACAATATATGCCGCAAAAGCAAGTAAAAACTTATCAAATAATTACGTCTCGTTTTGTTATAATAGACATGAGATGTATTTTTTTTCCAACATATTCCCTCAAACCAATTATCTGATAGAAACATTTAGAACAACTGTGATTACAAGATGAGATAACAACTCTATCTAGTTTATATTTATTTATACAAATAGCAATTACTTTCGTAATCTAAATGAAAACAAAATGAACTCGATGTGTTTTACTTAGAATAAACTGCTTTATTAACAATCGTATGGTTATCTAGCTCTGATTAACATTAAAAAAATAAATGTTTGTGAAACTACGAGTACATAATCAACTTAAAGTCACTCAATCATTTGTCGAAATATTTCCTCATATGACTAAACTTCTACTAATGTAAAATATTATTTTAATAATATATGGATTATTTTTTTTCATATATTCTCGTCTTATTTATCTGTCAGCCTATATTTTAATATCTTTCTTTAATCAAAAATATTCTTTCGGTATTTTTATCTCCGTTTCATATGAAAGTTTAGCTAAATATCAGGCCCTTAATGCTTTTATTAAACATGCTAGCAGTCTATTAATTATTATTAACATGCCATCACTAAAGTAACATTTAATTATGTATATAAAATAACTTTAAACCTAGATTTTAGTTTTTTTATGTGATAAATAATTAATTATGTTTTAAAAATATTTAGAAAGTAAATTCCATTTCTTTCTAAGTCGCTATGTGTAAAGAAAGAAAATATTGAATTAAACCATTATATACTAATATAAATAATATTTTTTAGGTTTTTCTTTTTATATCTACAACACATAAACTATTTATATTTTTTAAACGTTGGATAAATTTCAATTATATATCAGTGGCAATAAAATAAAATATAACAATATTTACAGAGGCTCATTTCATTTCAATGTTCTTAATTACGAGCGAAGATGCCAGGTAACAGATATCCTATTATTCAAAATATATAATTGCTTACAAACTATCAGCTTCATCCAATAAAGGATAATATAAATATCTATAAGACTGAGCAAACACAATTCTCGAGAGATAATTGTGATACGGTAATTGTAATTTGGGAGTCCAGTGCGAGTCCCAGTGTTTCATTTGGTTCTGAAAGTCCTAATTGTATGCTTGAAAAGCCTATTCAAACCACCCATAATTACATCCTTTATTTAAAGATTTTTTACATTTTAATACTAAATAAAAAAGTTAAATAAATCCAATACCCTTTCAATCTAATTCCGGATGATTACTTATTATTAAACTTTATGTGGAGTAAAATCCGCCACTAAATTCTTTTCTATCAGATTGTTGAATATGATATAATTTCTTGATCACAACATTTATAACTAAACAATTTACATTTATTTGAATTCAGGGTTTATATTTTTAAAATATTATCTTATTTAATGAGGCTTTTGCGAGTTTTCATTTAAATGAAACTAATATTTTTCGGATTATACTACGCATATTTTATCATTATAAAAGCTACGTACTCCCGACGTTTCAGTTACTTTTCAGCAACCGTGTTCACGGGCAAGCCAGATATAAAAATATAATCTTATTTAAGTAACGATATAATACCTAATTTGTCCGAAAAGACCCAGTTAAGTGTAGTCAAACATTAATTGATTATTTTTGGATTGTTTGATAGAGATAGTAGCAACCCTAAAAAGGGATTGTCTCTTATGTATGTTTGTGGGTCCCGGAAGCCTAAGTTTCCCATCCGTCCTTTCTACTACAGTATCATAGATCAATTCCTTCCATACTCCATTTTCAACACCCGAGACATTTAAACAAAGTATTTACACATTATAGAGTTACTATCGAAAACTATTGTTATTCATGCAATAAAAATTATTTATTTACAAATATAAAGATGTACAATTTTATTCTATATATAATATTCATTCATGCGTATATTGAAAGAGAGAAACTAACATTCTAGAAATAAAATGTTCACATTTATTTTAAAAATAAATTGAACGTGTGTAAAATGGAAAATGGCAATTAGGTCACATATTAAAAGGTTTCTTTAATCACGATAAGATGAAGGAGACCCAATAACTTTGCAGCGAAGTTATCTACATACGCGATTCTACTTTACTAATAAAGTTTTATACTCATTTATATAATATATTATTCCTATTACAATATTTAAAAGTAAAGGATAAATTTTAATTAACATTGTTATTTACTATGTATATAGATTGTATTAAATAAGGCTTTACAAAAAGATCGTATTAAAAGATCTCACTGCGGATTTTTATCAGACGATTACAACAGACTGTTTCTAAATTCAAGGACGTACGATTTTGTCTAAAATGTCCCAAAATTGTATTAACTTAAATAAAATTGTTATTTATCGATCATTCGTTTTATTTCGAAGAGAACACTGAACCATAGTATCTAGGGTCAAATGTAAAGATTAAGTAATTTTCAACTACTATTTTATGAGCAGTCTTTTTTTATTCTCTGCTTTTTTGTGACTTTCTTATTTAAAATCAAATTAGGAGAATTCTACATACTGATGATGACTAAAATATTAGCACTATGATGTACTTTTTACTTGCTAAAATACATAGGAGAGTCTAAATAAACTTGAAAAATATATCAGGTTCCTTTAGAAAACATTTTAAACGTTGTTTGGTTTTGTATGCTATTAATTAAACCATGAAGTCTGAATAAATAACTGTGAAAAATCTTCTTATTACAAATGCTAGTGACAATTTTCTGAAACTGACATATTAGGGTATATATAAGAATTAATATGCTTAACTTTTAGCCTCCAGAGTTCCTTTTGTTATGGAAGTAGTGCTGTAAATTTTATGATATTAAGAACGTTTAATGTCGTGTTGAATTTTCGTGAGTTTAATTTGAAATATTCTAATATTATACGAAGTTTACAAAGAGGCGAGTCAAACGAGGCTTAGTATTAAGTTTGGAAAGCAATAAATTTTTCATTAAAATTATTATTAATCTTTAAAAAATCTTTCGATAAACGTTACTTGCTGTCATATTTGTTAACATGTTAAGTCTCTTTGATCAGTGGAGCGTAATTAGTGAAGATACATTTTCAAAGAAAATTCAAACAAACTTTGTGTTGAATTATGATAAAAGATAATTAAGTTTCGTTTGAGCAAATTGACGTTAAAATGACTCGTGAAAATGAAATGTGGAAATTCGACAAGTTCAGAGTCTTCAGTTTTAAGTGAATATTTAGTAAACAAATACAATATACATACTTCGGAGATTAGAATATCACAAATATTATTTTTGAATTGTGGACAGTGATTTTTCTTTAGCAATTGGAAGAGCCTAGCTGTAGTCAGTTACTACAGCTCGAACATGGGCTGGCTCGACCGGGGAAGTACCACCCTCTCACAGAAGATCGGCGTGAAGTAGCCTTTAATGGCTGTGTTTCGTCCGATGAGTGAGAGAGCCGGTTGCCCTTTCCCTATTCCTACCCTTTTCTACCATTTCCTTATTCCCACCCCTCCCTATCCTTAAAAAACAAGGTTGGCAACGCATCCGAAACAGAGATGTTGCGGATGTCCATGGGCGACGGTAACCACCTTCCATCAAGTGGGCCGTCTGCTCGATTGCCACCATTCACATAAAAAAAAAAAAAAAAAAAAATAGAAAAGTAAAAAAATTGCTTCAGGCTTTGATGTAATACTTTGCACAAAAACCTTATTATCATCATTATCATCGGCGTATCAGAGCCCATTGCTGAGCAAAGGCCCCTTTTCACATGGAGAAGGTTAGAGCATTAATCACCACGCATGCTCGAGACGGGTTAGTGATCTCAAACTTATAATTTGAAATTATAAGTTCAGGTTTCTTCACGATGTTTCCCTTCACCTTCGGAAAAAGTACATATGACTCAGAAAAATCACATTGGTACTTACCAGGTTTCGAACCCGCGCCCTCATGCATGAGAGGCTGGCCTTTAACCACTAGGCCACCACGACTACCACACCTACTTATTATACAACACACTATTTAAATTCTATAGGAATTTTAGTCAATGTTATTCTATCCCCGAGTGAATGTTTCACTATATAAATTAGAAATTAAATTATATTGAGCGTTAATTTTCATTAAATAAAGCTGAAAACTTGGGAGTATAAACGGGCCGAGTTCTTTTGAAAGGAGAATTAAGAAAATAGTAAAAGACCGTAGCCACTTTGAAGTTTTGACGCCATCGTTAATTTTTAATAGGGTCTACGAGATGCGGTACAAATTATATGAAACAGCGACAAAAAATTGCAGTTATATTATAATTTAGTGAAACTCGACTAAAATTATGAAATTATAACTATTGGGAAAATTTAAATGTGAAATATGTACTATAAATTTTTCATTGTATTTTTCCACATCCAAGTAATATGGAGTTTGATATTTGAAATAATGTTCAATAAAATAATATGAAATAAAACTGACATCAACACTGACAGTATTAGCACCAGACTTCCAGGAGACAGCATAACTTTGTCCAATAAATTTTTTTCCCCAAATTTATCCATCATTGATGTAAGCATATGTATTCACGTTCACATTTTTATTATTATTTGAAATAACCGTGGTCAAAATATTTTTTTATTTCACAACTGTTGCTCCTTTTAAGCCAAAACCTCACAAACTTATTTATCAGTTTCAAACCATACTTTTAAACCTGTTGTTTAAATAGTCTAGATTTAATTGAAAAAAAATCATTGTATACTGTTATTTACTAGTCTTAGAATGATATTTAAGTATAGCGTCGTCGCTAACTCTTGTATTTTAGCATGGTACATGATAATAGGCGTTGAAAGTGTGAAGCTTTATGCAGCGATAACTCCTTAATGTACCCGCTGAGTCCCTCGGGACAGCCGCGTTTATCTTTTTATATGACTTGTTAACCGACACTTCGACGTTGTTTAACTTTTCTGTGTAAAACGACAGAGGAAATAAAAGCGTAAGTAATAATCCACCGTCCAATTTAAATCTACATTTATTTATTTCGAAATACGCCTATGTTTTTTTTAAAAGAATATTATTTAAAATGTTGATCCTCATGAATATATTTTCATACACAATATTTGCTTTGAATAAATAAATCAGAAAAAAAAATCAATCAACTCGTTCTCCATGCAACCACAAAAATATTCAATCCAATGAATTGCAAAACCGAATAACACTGGGACGTGTTTAAGGCGATTGGTTGTATTTATTAAAGTTTGCTTTATGAAACCTGGTTTTAAACTATTTTTGGCTTAAATTCTAAAGGATACCACGAAATAGTGCTTATAATGGAATTTTCGTCAAATATTTTGTATGAAAAATTCATCGTCATCTTCATTAAGCTACATATTTACAAAATGCAAATATATTTTAGACATTTATTTCATGAGACCGCAGGACGACCGTACAAATTAATTAAACTATCCACAGTTACAAAACGAATCGAATACCATATTAATATTAAAATGAGAATCATAAATAAATCTGTTTTAATATCAATCTGCATAAAATGTATACCTACATTTATATTATTAACAACTTTTAACCTTTGTAAACCCTTTTTTTTAACAAGTACTTAATGTGTGGAATGTTTTCAGGTTTACTTTAAAATATTAAAATAGATAAACCTAATGTTTTTACATGACTTCGTATATATTTGTATTAAAAAAATGTTTTCTTGTTTGTAAATATTTTTCCTAAGACTAACGGCCTGGAAATAAGACACTACCTGCGCCAATAAAAACTAAATATTTACAAAGTAATATAAACAATATTTTATTCGAAAACTTGAGATTTATAAAGTAACTAAGTTATTATATACTATCTATAAAGTAACTAAGTTATTATATACTGAAAAAAAGCATTATTTGTAAATATAGTGCTCATAATTATTAATAAAAATGTATGCAAAATTGAACTCTTAGCTATTATAGTTATGAGTCATTCATTTCAAACAAGGGTACAGATTTATAGAGATGATGTTAATTCCACGATTTTAATTTAATTCTACAAATTGAGCTCTAAACAAATTTAAATCAAACGTTTTAATTTAGAAGGTATGAAAACGAAAATATAAAAATAACAATTTGCATAACCCTTTACCCATGCAAGGCCTCTGCATAAGCGTAGTTGGATACATTTAGTTCAGAGGATGAAACCTTATAAATTTTATTAAAAACCTGATCTTCAGATATCGAAGATAATAACTTTATTTCCAATGATAACATTGTAACAGTCACAGAAGGTATTTATTCAAAATTTCTAATCTTCCAATCAGTTCCAACAACGTTATTAGACTCGTTCTCAGTTATGCCGCTGGACATACGAATTACTATTCGAGGCCATTCCAGACTTTGTTACATAGCACAAAATATTATCTCTATTTAGAAAGCGAAACTACCCCGTTAAAAATGTTGCATAACAAAAATTTCGTTAGTACAAAACGTATGACACATTTAATAAACAAATTTTTATCGTAATATGAATTTAAAAAATATTTTCTCCTTACATATCATAATGCATTAACAGCAATAAAATAAAAAATATTGTTAATTAAATAAACTTATTACCGTAAATGTAGTTTTATTCTTATAGATAGGCTTAGGCTTAGGCTTAAAGAAGTTTATTTCCAAAAAGAACAGAGTTCGCTTACAAAGGAAATTTTAAAAACTATAACTACATACAATTACAAATAATAAACAGTAGTGATATTAAACAAGTTCAGTGAAATCTCCTAATATATGGGTTCTTGATCGTTTTTTAAATATATTTAGAGATTTTGAATTGACAATAGTTAGAGGTAAAGAGTAGATAAAATACTATTCAGAATAATTATATAATTGTTGGTATTTTGTGTTGTTGATATCTTTAACCCTTTCAAAAGAGTGAAGAGGATGTAATTAACAAAAAATAACCAAACACTAAAATGGCGTTTGAACTGAATGATATTCAACAACATGAGTACTAGAGAACTATATGAATGAAACCTACATTTTAACCACCTTTTTTCCACTATACATAACTATTAAGATTATTATTATAATCAAGAACATATTAAATTCACTTGGAAGTTAACTTATTTCTAGCGAACAATCAGCTTTATGTAATGTAAGGATCTTGTACGAGTGTTCAGTTATTTAGCTGATGTCTTTGACACAGTTGTTATGTGCGCTACACCTTAACCACTTAAGTGAACTATCCTTATCCTTTCGACTTTTAACTCTATCAGAAATATAGACATAATTTTTATGTTTCTCAATTCGTTTTATAATATTTATAACAATTATATATGATTTTTTTATGAGAGGTGACAAACGAACAGACGGTCTACTTGATGAGCAGTAGTCACCGTCCCCCATGGAGATCAAAACATACCTAAGAGTTGTTGCGGATGCGAGCCAGCCCATGTTCGAACTTTAGTAACTTGACATTAACCAGGCTACACCACCTCATAAATTTTAAATAATTTTATGTTTCGAAATATAAATATTTGAATAAAAAAAACCATTAATATTTAAACACCTAAATAAAAGTATAGATAAAAAAGGGTATACAAGTGATTCGTTTTTGTGTAACAGCGAAAAATGGAACAAATATTGTTGAATAAAGAGAAATACTAGATTTTTGTGTGAGATTGCAAAGGATTATTCTGTGTAGTGGGAATTCTGTGAATTACTACGCATGTTCATGGCGCGACAACCGTACAGTTTCCTAGTAGAAATTAACAAATAATAAATGCTCTTAATTTGAACTGTGTTTCAGATTAGTACTCACAAACTACTCGTCTAGTAATTCTGACCTTTCTATATTGAGTTTATAATATCTATAGGTATTATTCTTTAATATAATAACATTTATCCTTTAATATTTTAAATAAGATTATAAAATTAGTCACAACGACTGGATAAGTTTTAGCTTGATAAAAATACTCTTATATTATTTCTTAAACTTATTACTAGTTGATATTATTTTTGTTCATATTTTTTATTTTTTAAGTACGCAGGGAAACTTTTTTTACGAGCCGTTCCCTTTTTGTTCATATGTTTAACCTAATAGCAACCGTTTGTCTTCTAGTTATACTATTTCTACAGTAAGATTAAGCAAGTAATATTCAGATCTTGTCTGCCCATGATCACGGTTGCTACTAATTAACCGAAACGTTTTGCCTCAATAATTTCAAGCAAGGGTGCAGTTTTGTACAGATGATGTTTATCCCATGATTTTAATTTAAATTGTCAGCTTATTGTGTACATATAAATTGACTCTAAACAAATTTAAATCAAACCTTTTCATTTAGAAGTTAGGAACACAAAAATATAAAAATAACAACAAGCGTAGTTATACACATTTAGTTCAGTTCTTAAGGTATAAGATGTCAGAGGATAGACCTTATTAATTTATAAAATACCTTACCTTTAGATATCGTGGAAAATAACATTATATCCTATGACTATTTTGTAACAGCAAAAAAGCGTATTTATTCAAAATTTCTAATCTTCCAATCAGTTCCAACAACGTTATTAGACTCGTTCTCAGTTATTCCTCTGGACATACGAATTTACGATTCGATCCCATTCCAGACTTTGTTACATAGAACAAAATATTATCTCTATTTAGAAAGCGAAAATACCCCGTTAAAAATTTAGCATTTAGTATTAAATGTATTTTAAACTTAAGTCTGAGTGTACCAAAAATTTCCGTAGTACAAAACGTATCATGAATTTCAAACAATTAATAAACAAAATTTTTATGGTAATATATAAGTAAATAATATTTTCTTCTTACATAATCAAACTTATTACCGTAAGTGTACTTTTATTCTCATAGATAAAATACTATTCAGAATAATTATATAATTGTTGGTATTTTGTGTTTTGAATGATCTTTAACCTTTTCAAAAGAATGAAGAGGATGCACACAACAAAACAAAAAATACCCAAACACTACAATGGCGTTTGAACTGCGATATTCAACAACATGAGTACTAGAGAACTATATGAATGAAACCTACACTTTAATCACCTATTCCTACTATATCTATTTAGATTATTATTGTAATCAAGAATACATTGAATTTACATGGAAGTAAACTTATTTCTAGCGAACAATCAGCTTTATATAATATGAAGATCTTGTACACTCGGTTCAGTTAGTTAGCTGATGTCTTTGACACAGTTGTTATGTGCACTACACCTTAACCACTTATGTGAAACGATCCTTATCCTTTCGACTTGTAACTCTATCAGAAATATGGACATAATTTTTATGTTTCTCAATTCGTTTGTTTATAATATTTATAATAATGATATATGATTTTTTTATGAGAGGTGACAAACGAACAGACGGTCTACTTGATGAGCAGTAGTCACCATCCCCCGGACATTCATGGACAACAGAAACATAAGAAATGCTGCAGATGCGAGCCAGCCCATGTTCGAGCTTTAGTAACTTGACATTAACCAGGCTACACCACCTCATAAATTTTAAATAATTTTATGTTTCGAAATATAAATATTTGAATAAA